TGGGGGTGGTGGGGGTCTCCTAATCCTTTTCTTTTCTCCGCCCTTTCTCTGCTAGTAAAGCACACAGAGCTGGACTTTACCACTTGATGCTTTACAAGTGGTCTGTGTGTGACTTTAACACTTCAACGGTGCAGAATGTGTTCCGGAACAAAAGAGAAAAATGTTTGGACAGGTCCTTTTTTTTTTTTTTTTAAAGAAAAAAGAAAATTAACTTCTAGAACGCCGCCTTAAAATGAACACATTTCCCGTCTGAATCCAAGATTCCTGGAATTCCAGGTCATTAATCTAAGCAATCTGAATTCCTGCCAGCCCTTAGGCAGGGAAGGGAATAACACAGGAGGAGGAGAAGAAGGAGAAAGGAGGTGTTTGATTTCAGCTTTGTGCAGACACGGTTAAAAAAAAAACCCAAGTAAAGGCAGCCGTCAGCAGACAATAAGTGTAGAGAAGTCTCCAACAACTAGACACAAAAACAGCCAACAATACTGTCTGGTGCTGCGTTTCTGTTTGTCCCAGAATTAATGCGATGTGTCCAGGAAGTCTGAAATAGATAGCAGCACAACAACTATGCAAATAAGTGTGTGTACGAGAGAGTGAGGGAGGGAGGGAGAGGAAAAAAGAGAGAGAGACTCTGTCTATTTTTCGGCACACTTTTGCCTAATAATCCTGTCTTGGTAAAAAGAAAAAAAAAGGCTAGAACAATTTTTTTCTTCTAATTTTAATTAGTGTGATTCAATTAAAAACTGTTACTGTACCTTCAACAATCATATTGAACATATTTCACATATTTCAAATTTTAAATTAACAATATGTTGTTAACTGTTTTGGCTTGGCTTTTTTAGTGTAGTTTATACAGGTTTTTTAATGAAAGTTTTATTAGTTATTTTGAAGCTGCTGCCAGTTCTGATGTCAGGAGTTAAAGAACCATATATAAATGACTTTGAGGTGTTTGGTTAATTTACATTATGGTTATTTAACATTACACAAATCACAGTTATTGTATACATTCAAGAAAAAAAGGTCAAATTCACCTCAAATACATTCCTTTATTAATTGGCTACAAATGCACATATTGCATATTAACATATATATTTTATATTTTATATTTTATTTCTAGGCAAAAATTGGGGAAAATACATTTCTCAACCGATGACAGTAACCACGCGAACACCCTAGGGGCTGCGGACCCCAGATTGAAGTGCACTGAGGGATTATAAATATTCATGTTCATATAAATCATAAAGAATTACTAAATACACAACAGTATTTCATGAGATGAAAATTTGTAGTATTGTGAATTTTATTTCCAAAACCAGGAAGAATTTGTAGTATTGTGAATTTTATTTCCGAAACCAGGAAGAGTAAAATAGAATAAAATAGAAACAGAAAACTATAAAGTATCTGTAAACACAGTTCTGTAACCATCACGCCTTTATATTAAACATTATGTATTTCGCACCATTAAATTTAGAAATACTAAATTTGGATAAATTGTATAATTTTCATTTTAAACTGTTGGTTAAACTCCGGGACTAAATACTAGGAGTAGCTAGTACCGATCGAAGCTGGCAGAGGACAAGCGGAAATAGCTGTGCATTAATGCAGTTATCGATTATCTATCGATTAATCACTGCTGCCCTGAGGCTGCTGCATTGTCTGTGTAAGTTTCCTCTTGTTGTAGCGCCATGTAAACGGCTTCCAGTCATCATTAACAGAAGACAGAAGGGGTGGGGCGTATCTAGAAACGTAAAAGACAAAAAAAAAAAAAAAAAAACTTTAAGCCTGGGCTTAATTCATTGAAAACCAAATGTAGAAAATCTAGAATTGATTTTTTTCCACCCTTTAAAGTCAAATAAAAGTAGCACGTAAAGAGTTGGGCTGCCGTGCCGGGAGCTCGGACAGCATCTGGCCGCAGTTTGAGAGCTGTTGCCTCTGAGTGGAGAAAGAACAGCCTCAGACTGAGACGCTACAAATGTCCTGGCAACAATGTAACCTCAATTTGTAACAATGTCACAACAACACGAGCGATCACACAGCACCGAACCCAGCACAGCCTCGAACACGGAGTTCAGACAGCGCGTTAGTTGAAGCGCGGTCCACTTTCAAGGACACTGCAGCTCAAACACGGACGGTAGCCTCGAACAACACGGCACCGAGACACAAATCACCCCCGTGGTTCAGTCACGGAGGCTGGGGGAAGTCCACTCTGACTTACCTTGTTGTTGTTGTTGTTGTTGCTGTTGTTTTTGCCGGTGTAGCCGTTGTAGGGGTTGATTCCTGTCCTCGGCGGCACAGAGAGCAGCATTTTTACGCGGAGCAGCGCAGAGCCGAGGCAGGCAGTCAGTCAGCTGACGTCAGCCAGGAACAGCCGAGGTGATGGGAGTCGCTGTTCCCAGCAGCAGGAACAGCAGCACCACAACTACTGAATATGACCGCTTGGCGTGCTACAGTATACCGTCTAAATCAGTACTGCGTCGATATCTGATCCAGACTGTGGTAAACACGGCGGCAGAACCTGAACCAAAACTGGTTGAATTATAGATCTTCTAGTCCGGCAGATGAAGCTTGTCAACAGTATTATTCTCACCGCTCCGTTTGCCTGTGAGGATGGTGTTCTTTGGGTAACATACCTCTTCGTTTTCTAAAGATTTTTTAAGGTTTCTGATTTCATCTGCCCAATAATTACATTTTTATTCTGATTTATTAACTTTAGTAACTCAGTAACCTTGCGTTACACATCTGCCTTACACACAGAGAGTCCTGGGTTCGAGCCCCAGAGGAAATATACGTATATCCCTATAGAGCTAGAACCATATACATGCTCAATGGCGCCTCCTGTGGCATAAGGGACTGTTTTTGCAATGGAAAATTAATTTTATATCAAGTCTGTAAAACAAATGGATCAAATTAGATTTTTATTCCAATCAGTCCCATATGTTACATGGTTTTAGTGTCGGGGTAACTGAACTCCTGGTGAAAAGACAACAGTGGAGCAGCTGTGAAGAAGATGAGGTCACCACACGGTTGATGTCAGACTTGACATGAGGTCATGAAAAATTAATTTAGACAAAATAGATGTAATCGTTGAAAACTAAATATGAAGTCATCTGAGTCTGCATCTTCGTTAACATGAAATCTGACAAAAATGTATTTTGACTAAACTGTCAATATACATTAAAAACTATATTTATTTGTTTAAGTCACTTCATAAAAATAAATTGAGCAGTGGTGAATATGTCAAACACTGCAGTTGAATTTAGGACGCAGCAGATCGTCTGCTCTCATCTCACTCCACTCCTTGTCGCCTCTACTGTTACACCAACTATTTCTTTGTCCACTCTCCCAACGTCTGGAATCATCTCTGAGGTTCTGATCTGATATAGATCTGATCTGATTGATTGATTTGAACCGTGGCTGTTCCTCCAATCGTCTCATTTTCCTAATGATAATTTCGGCTCTGCCTGCTGCCTTCCTCACAGTGTCACTGTCTCCAGTGTGAACCATATATCACAGGTCTCCCCACCATCTGGTGCACTCAGAGACAGACCCTTGAACAACCATCTTAGTGGACTCGCCTTTGTCCATTTTCTCTTTTATTCTGGTGTTGATACTGACGCCAACACAACTTTTCTTCTCTCCTCCTCCAACTCCCCTTCCGGTAGCCTTACTGTTCCTGACTGATTAGACCTGAAGTGTGTAGGAAAAACATGTAATTAGTGTGTCTGTGTGTGTGTGTGTGTGTTCTCCTCGGCCATAACATTTGCATATACTACATCTCCAGCAGCAAGAGTTAGCATCAGAGGGAGGCAGACGACAGACCTTTATGCACTCGTGCTGCTGTACATGCACGGGGGATTTCATCCTGATTTCATCATGATGGGTCAGTCAGACAGATGGGACAGGCTCGGCTGAATTCATAATCTGCGTCTCCCCCTTCTCTCCATCTCCCTCCCCTCTCCTTGCTCACAAAGTCAAAAGTTGATGCATTGATTGCATTTGCATAAAAATAATATTATTCTGAGTAACCGTCGTCCCACCGACGCCTCGTCCAGACTGGACCGTTTCTTGACCACAATCAGGTCACCCAGAGTTATTCACTCCCACCCCCCCTACAGTCTATGCCATGTTTTCATATGCATGTGCAAGTGTTCAGCCAGATGGGCTGCGAGTTCCCTGCAACTCAAGGACAGTTTTGGGAGTGACTCAGAGAGAGCTGCGGTCCAGAGGCCGCCAACACAAACAGTTAATTCACCACAATCAAGAATGAAGGGCCCTGTCAGTTTAACATACCTTAGTTTATATATGTGGTTTCTTCCACTCTGACAGATTTTACATAAAGAATCGATTGATGTTTTTAGCTGGTAATTTCTATGTCCAAAATACTTAAATAACACCAGATACCACTGGAATATCCTCAAATCTTAGACCTTTGAAAAATGTCAGGGTGAACTCTGAGGGTTGCGCGGGGGAGGGCTGCAGATAGTGAAGACGCGAGGTGGGGTGAGTGATGGCAGGGTGAGGAGAACACAGGCTGCTGGTGCATGCTTTGCATTCCTCAGGTGTTGTCAGCATGGCCTGCTTAGTAATTACCTCTCTGCAAATAACGTGCACAAAGCCGCACTTCACAAGCAAAGCTAAGCAAAGGGCAGCACCCCCGAGAGGCCGTTAGGGGAAGATGTCAGAGACAGATAGGCGTGCGTTCTTATTTACATCCAGTCACAACGGTTAATGGATCTACGTTCATTTATTTATTTATTTATCCGGAGCGAGTGCACCGTGCTGCGGCGCATGCAGCTGTGTGACTGTGCAAGAGTCAGCACTTTGATATACATGCACTCATCCATCTCCCCTCAACGATATGAGCAAGGCCGGGCGGGAACCGTGGCCAAGCAGTTTGGCATGGAAAACGGTGGCGTGGTGCAGATGTAGAGTTGTGAAGATGGTGGTAAGATGTCTCACAAAAAATATTTATGGACACCGTAGATCACCGCATCCTGGCAGACTGTACAGTACTTGCGTGTCTGAATACGTTGTTGAATGAGGTCGCAACCATTTGTCATTCCATACACAGCTCTACTGTACTGTGTGTCAGCGGTGTGCAGCAGGGCTCTGTTCTGAGAACTAGGTTTTTTTTTATCTTGCAGGTTTTTCTTATTGGTGGAAATAATACACAATTACATGCTTGAATCTTTATTTATTTTTTAATTAATCACTGATTTAAACCAATTCCTGCTTTTATTAAGTTGAAACTAAAAATATTTTTTGTAAATATAAATTATTCTAGCTTCATTTCAATGTGGTTCTGGAAAATGTGTACAACACTGTATTTTGCAGCCATGGGGTAACGGCCGTGTACACCCTGGACTGTTCCCCAGTCTATCACTGGGCCACATATTGAGACAACCAGACTAACATTTATATGGGATTTATATGGGAAGAAGTAGTAGTACCATTCATACTATGTTTATAGCGCCATCTGCAGTGGAAGAAGTGCAACAACACACTGTATGTTTATTGGAGAAAGCCTCAGAAAAGAGATTCTGAATTTCACTGAGTGTAAAGAAAAATGATGAATTATTATAATCTTTGCAGAGAGGTAGCAGGCCGTTCTGCTCTTTATTGTCTTTCCTGTTTTATCACAGACACTGCTGTCAAAGATAAAGCAGGTTCTTCTTGGTCTGGGAACTCTTCTCCCCCACTTTTACTCTCCTTCCTCTTTCCCGGCTGTGTCTCTTTGGCAGGCGGACTGCAGGCTGAGGGATTGTGTGCAGATGTGCCTGGAGAGAGGCCAGCCCCTCTGCCCTGGAAGAACATGTGGTCTGGGAGTGTTTACGCTGGCACTCTTTCAAGCTGTCTCCCTCACAGCATGCTGGCGTCTGTCTCTCCTGGATGACATGCTCAACCCTCCTCCCACAAAGGGGGCATTCTCAGGTTGAAGTCACACCAGCAATCATGTTGATTCATGGTGTTGACAAACAGGAGACGCCGCAGTGCAAATAAGGAGTCAACACATTTTCTCACATTAATTAATCTGAAAGAGAGCGCTATTTTATTACACAGACCAATAGTTTATCTGACAAAAAGAAGCAGGTTTTATAACTATTTTTTTTATTTTTTGTTCCTCGGGGAATTCAAGAACTTCATGCATGTTTTTCACAGATGCTCCACATTCCTTACATTCTCCCAAGTGTTTCTGGTTCCGGGTAAACATCTGAAAGTGCCCTCAGGCTAATTTATTCTCACCAACAGTCACAGTCAGGCCACTGTCAGTCAGCACTGTGTGAAAACGACACAGATTTTTGTTTGTACCATGTCATCACTTCATGACAGAACACAGACACACTGCTGAAACACTCTGCAGGAAGGTTATTTAGGAGTTCAGTTTTAGGGCAGTTGTTCAAAAATCATCTCATGTCTTTTTGATCAGCCAAGTTCATCTGTGATTCAAAGTAAAATGACACGGTTAACTTTGTCGACCTTTGCTGATGCACAGGTCTTTGTCATCTTTGTTAATGAAATAATTCAGTCTTCTGCATGATAAGTATTTAGTGCCCCCTGCAGGTTTATCAGAAATTAACCATTGATATCAGGTTTATAGTGATAACCTATAAAATTACATTTTTAATTATTTCTATTATTAACATTATTATTATTATTTGGCAATATAAGTACATTACGACTTCCCCTTTTCTGTTTTACATTTACTGGAAATGGTGTATAAAATTATTTTTATTTGTAATCAATGTCTATTTTTAATTGTATTTACTATGAATTTCTGATATAATTAGTAACACTTATTAAAACTTGCTCTAAAACAACTATATAATCGAGTTTTTTGGTAAATTTGCTTGAAGTGTAGTTTAAATTTTACCGCTTTTTACCGCTAGAGAGCAGTCTTTATCAATTCTTGCAACCGCCGTTAAACGGTAACGCAAATAACAGATATTTTTTATTTACAAAATATTTTATTTTTTTCTACTTTGAAAATGGCCGTATCTCATATTTTGTATATATTGGGTTTTTTTTCATTGTTTTAATATTTGCAGTCAGTGGGCAGAAATGTGTCTTTTAACCAGGGTTCAGATTCAGCTCCATGTCTTTGTGACCCTGGGCGAGGCAATAAAATCCGAGCTTGGTGCCGAGCCAAGATAAATGGGAATTGTTACTTAACGATCTAGCCTTAAAAACGTACCATAAATCATCAGAATTATCTGCCATGGCAGCCCCTAATTGGATTCTCTTTCCAAAATATGTTTGATTTACAATATTCGCCGGATATTGGTACAATATATTTTAGTTAAAATGTATTAACGTGTTCTTCAGCCAAGATTTTGTGCTTCAAGTTCTCTCTGTTCGGCTCCTTTATCTTGGTGAAATATATTTCTTGAAATAAAAAAAATAAAAAAAACTGTTTAATGGAGTTCAGAGTATATAAATTTACCACAGACTGAAAATTAAAGATTGAAATTAAAACAGGAACTAGGAAAGTGTGGCACTCTGCCCCCATATCCCATTTTATTATCCTACCCTGTCCTAATGCATCCCACATCAATCACCTATTGTATCTTCATTAATTTTAATTGAGTCTTATTGTATGACCAATGCATACAACCACATCCTTTTATAACATCCATTTAATCTGGTCAATCGTAAAGCATATCTCATGCATATTATAGATATATTGTGTAATACATATCTGCTACTAATACTTTCACATGTAATCTAAAAAATTCTAATCTAAATTAATTAATTAATTAATTCAAAATAGTGATGGAGATTATTGGTGATGGTTAGGTCAGAGGGGTGGTCGTGTTCTGCAGATGTAATGGTCACACCACGTACAGTGGGTGTCAGTAAGGGCCCAACAAAGACATGCAGCGAGCAAAGCGGAGCCAACATGGCGGACACCGGGTACCAGTTACAGAGCCGCCCTTTCCCACGCCTCCTCTGTCTTTCTCTCCTGTCCACGCTATACGGGAAAGAGGTTGAAAGAGGAGAAAAGAGGTGTGTTTGAGCATGCGCAGTGCTTCCTTTGCCTCTTCGGTTATCCCACTTTTGAGGATCCGAGCGTTACGTCACAGAGTAGTCCACACACACACACACACACTGGTGAAGCAGCAGGAGGAGGAATCCACTATCTCCACTCATGCAAACAGCAGCAGCAGCAGCAGCAACACGGGGAGACAACGGACATATAAAGAAAACGCTTTGACTTTTCTTGTTTTTCCTTCTTTTTTTCTGGAGCTCGACAGAGGAATGAGCTGAGTCTGCCTGTCTGTCTGTGAGTGAGTGAGTGAGTGAGAGTGTGCAGACAGCACGACAGTAGTGGCATGGTGTTGTGAGAGCAGAGAGCCCCCAGCTCCGTGGAACACAGCCTGCACTGTGCATCATGTTTGAAAGCCGATGATCAATTAGAAATATACATGAGAGAGCTGCCGCCGCTGCTGCATTGGCCATAGCCTCTCCGGGCTGAAGCCCTGTTACTACAGAAGCCCGTCTGAAGGCTGAGCGGACAATCACAGCCCAACTACCGGCGGCGGTTCGGATGAGGTGCTCGATCGGCCGGTTTGCTTGTAGAAATCCGGCCAACTTTTGCTCCATTCCTTTCTAACAGCAGTGCCACGGTCGGGCATTGCTCCGGAGATGGCGATGAGGTGCCTCTACTTGGGATTTATTTTGCTCTGCTTGGAGATCGTGTCTCCTAACGGTGCAACCGTAGGTAAGTAGCCTGTTGTCGCCTCACATTTGCATTGTGGTGCTGTTGATACTGGACTTTTTTCTTTTGTTTTTTTTTCTAAATTATTGTTCACAGCCGAGCATCCATGCACAGGCCTGTCTAGAGCAGAGTTGTTGTTGTAAATTGTCCTCATAATAACAATGTGCGCCCCGGCTCCACGCTGAAGGAAAGGCATTAATCAGAGAAAGTAGCGCACAAACGAGCAGTGGCCTCAAATCTGTCTGCGTTTTTGTGAGCACCGCTCCAGACAGAATTTTGCTGAGCCTGCCTGCCTGCCTGCCTGCCTGCATGAGGATGGCAGACACTGAGCTCATTCACAGGCAGGTAAATGCTACACCTAGCTTGGTTTACACACTCATTCCTCAATGATTGACTGGTATAAAATGGCCTTTGTCCGATATTTATAATTAAATAAATCAGCGTTGAACAGATATTTATAATTAAATAAATCAGCGTTTCCCACACGCTTGTACCAGCGTGTATGGCGACAGCTGATTTGGAAAAAAAAAAGAAAAAGGGGGAAAAAAGAACCCAAACGTGTTGCTTTTTCTGTCATTATAATGGGAGCTGCACGCCTGAGTTTCATATTAAACCCGCGGGAGATGAGGACTCGGATCAGCTTTCATGTTTGTTTTCAGTGACTTGCCGCAAATGAAAACAACAGTGGTGTTTGCCTGTAGAGGTTTCATCCTAATGGCGCGGCTTGTCCAGACGTGCAGCGTCAGAAGTTGCCCAGGGAGTCACAATTTATGACTGACAGACAGGCACTGACTGTCTGAAATGAATAGTCGTGCACTTTATCCTCCCATGCCCCCGCTGCTGCTCACTGCTCCGCTCTGCCGTATAGTAATAATGAGATATTATTCTTCTGACAACAATGCATGACAAACCTGTTGAGCTTTTCAGCTTCTGTCCTCCAGCAGTGCTGATCACTACAGAAAAATAACCCCGTCTGTGTATAAGCTAACTTGTAGAAGTCAGTGGTGGTGTTCTGTGGCTGTATTTCTGCTCCAAACGGCTACAAATGCAGAAAAAAGGTTCAGTGTCCACCCTTCATATTAATTGAGTCGTGTAATCCCTAGTTAATCTGAAACACTAACTTTGAAATATCTTTTTCGCCTGCAAAGATTATAACTAATGTGCAAAATTTGCTCTTATATAAGATTCATGATATTTTTATGAAGGGTGTTCAGCGTAAAAGCTGTGAGTCTGCATGCGTCCCCCCACATAAGTATGTAACATCTGGACACAGGAAGACCATTAATCCAACCTAGATGTAAATGCCTGGGATGGAGACTTTATATAAGAAGTGGATGTAACCATCTGGGTGCAAGGTGGAGTAGACAGTGAGTACTCAGAATGAGAGCATGACCTTCTCAGTTAATATCATAAGTACACATTTGATGGTTCCTTGTACTGTACAAGTTTTAGGTCTGAAATAGAGCATAATGGTGGTTGTGTAAGTACCGATTAAGTCCTTTCAGTGACATAACAGGGTTTGTGATTGGCATAATGGAATCACATTCTGTATAAAAAGACCTAGAATTTGTGATTGATCATTCAATTGTCAGAAAACATGTTTACTATTGTTTAAAAAAAGCCATCAGCCAGCACAATTATTTTAACATAAAATTACATTTAAGGTAATGTTATTTTTCAAGGTTAGCATAATACGTTGCTAAATGTCCATGTTAGCAGGCTTATAAGCGTCGTCATAGGCTCTAAACCCCTGAAGTAACATTAGTTAAAACAAAATATTTTTTCTGGTTGTTTAAATCTTACCAGTTAAACAATTATTTAGTACAGTACATAAAAACTATTGACAGTGCTGTGTTTTGGGATATGCGCTAGCCAACTTGCTAACAGGAAATAGTTCAATTGAATTACCATATATGCTCTGTAATGGATTATAATATCACTTGTTTACATTCTGTGACACCATTTGTGATCAACATCTGGCCAAATTCAGTTGACTTTAGTCATTTATTGATGATATAAATTGAGTTTATTAGCCTAAATTGTGTACACTGTTACACTGCTTAGCATTCTAGCATTAGCCTCCACCATATGCCTTTTTCCATTTGTAACGTATGGTCTGTGCTTGTGGTCAGTGTGTGACTGGATGAACTGCTATCATAGTTGGTTGCCTTTATATAATATGTATTATAATTTAAAGGAGTTTGTTGAGAGTGAAATCTGTGGATTACAGACGTGTGCAATCTTCCACTTCCATCAGAGTGTAACATCTGGTAACAGGGAAACCATTAATCATACTTAAATGGAGTAGAATGCTCAGCTGAGGTAGTGCTTAGCCAAAATCCTTCATAGCAGGACTAACACACCCAGATAATATGTGAAAGATACCTTTGTTCTGGATGTGTGAGGGTTAGTCAGAAAGTTGAAGATGCAAAAATACACCCCCAAAAAATCAAAAAAAGAAGGAAATCTCTGATGGAAACAACACCTGCAGTATTCAGACTTTAGCTTCTTCTCTACATATCCTCTGTTTATCTTTGAAGATGGCTAAATATCATTTGTAAAACACAGAAAAAATTAAAATAAAGTGCTATAATGTTTTTCTAAACGTGAGTTGTAATAAAGTGCTATAATGTTTTTCTAAGCATGAGTTGCAAACAAATGGCATTGTTAGCTCGCTGCTAACTTAGCTTTAAACATTCAAGCCATTTTAGCCAGTGTTGTTAAACAATGCTCGAGCTTATCTATTTAAACAAAGAAATAAATATGAATCATGTTAATTGCCATCAATCTTCGTCATCATTGTACTTATGTAAATACGTTTGTTCCACTCCCATGCTTGCGTATTGAGACAAACAGTATTTTGGTCAAATACTGTAGCTCCATCATTACCGTATGACCCAACCACGCACGTTAATGATGGTCAACAACGGTGGATAGAAAGTGCGGTGGTACAACATCAAAGGTTGGTCACTTGGAATGGATTTGTGTGACGTACCACTGGTGAACAGAGTAAATTAACAAGTGGGAAGGATCTGGAGACGGCAGGGTCAGAGGGTCGCAGCTAGAAGTTAAACATTCAACTGACCTCTTTGTTTGTTATCGATCAGTGATGCTGCGCTGAGCTTGTTATTGTTACAATCAAAGGCGTCATCCTTAAATAGACAAACTACACTTAAGTTATATTCTTAGGAAAATAGAATCTTTAACTAAATATCACAGCTGGAGAAAATCCAGAAATCTACATTTTTGTGCTTTAGAAACAAATACATCCAGGTTCTTTATAATAATTGTTTAGCATCAATTTGTATTATATAAAACAAAGTGCATTTATAAGTCGTACAAAGAAAACAGATCAGATCAGAAGAAAAAAACATTACCCATGTTTTAGTATCAAGAGTCAAAGACGTTTATTTCAAGGAATTTCAATGATTAATGTTTGACTTTAGAAGAAAAAAACATCAGAATTTTATCTTCTTTGTTTGTTTGGGTTTTTTTGGGGGGGGGGTTGCTTGCTTAACTTATCCTTCATCATTTCCTTTTTGTTTGTCCGGTCATTTGTGCTAAATAAGATTATGGCTGGTGGACTTACTTATAGGATCTAACCAACCTTCAGGGGTGAAAAGAGTTCTGTTTGTGAAGTATTAATGTGGGTCAGAGGCTAAAGAGGCTGAATTCCTGAGGAGCCTAAACTCTGTTTGCCTGACCTTTTTATTAGGACCTGGCTATACATTGTACTCACAACTGTCACAGGGAACGTCTGCTGGGAACAAAAATCAGCATCTTCATACAAAACCAACAGATGATGGAAGTGTTCCGTTGACGACGGAGGTCACTTTGCTTACAAATTGCTGACTATTCCAATAATCTGAAGATCTGTTTCCTCCCAGTTCTGACTTCTCTGTTGGGAAAAAAGGAGAAATAAAGAAAAACCATAAAGTCTGACAGCATTTCAGTGAAACGCAGTCAGACTTTCTCTTGACTTTGTGAAGTTTAAAGTAGTGCTCGTGTGCAGGTGTTTTTGAGCTCAGCTTTAGTCTAGTGCATGTATTTATAGTTTTATAATAATGATAACAGCAGACGACGTGACTCTGCAGAAAAGATCAACTTCTCAGATTTTAATCTCTGCGTAAGAAAGGAACTCCCTGTGACTGCGAGGCAAAAGCAGGAGAACGTGAACAGTGTTGTTCCCCACATATGGAAGGCGTGAGACCGCACATGAAAGAGAGCTTGTTAATTGAGAATAGTGGGGGGTTCACAGTAATTGGTGTTTTCTGTTAACCGCATCACTGTTTACACTCTTTAGCTCCTTAGTTCCAAAAAAAGAAACACAACAGCTTCTCACAAATCAGAGAGTGTGTGTCTGTGTGTGTGTGTGTGTTTTAATGCAGCTTTCTAGAATTCATTCACTTCATTGTGGGAGATTAAACGTGGTTACAGTGCTTTTATGCTCTTCCTTCCTGTTGTTTTTTTTTATTATGACTGAGGGTTTGAAAAAATGTTCCTCTGAAGGTGCAGATAGAGATTTTCAAAACAAGTTTAAATGTTATGATGGATGGATGTTATGAAGGGTTGCCATGTTTGCCTGACGACCCTGAATTACTGGCTTCACACACTCGTGGTAGTGTGTGTCTCAGATGTGTCCATTGCGCTTGACTACAAAAATCAATGTGCTTTTTGCGCAGGGACCCCTGGATGTTTTCACACCTAGTCAGAGGTGAGAATCTTATACATGGAGATAAGATTCCAATTTCGTGGACTGCTGCACAGTGTCAAAGCTGTTTAGTCTCATCTGAGCCCCGGTGTTAGCTGTTGGACTGTGGCTAAACATAGAGTACAGCATACTGTGCACCGCTAATGTGGTTATTTTAGTTGATTCCTTTTGTTGGACTCGCTACAGTCCAGAACTGCACCTTTGAGTTTCCATAACTGATGGAGTTGCATTTTTTGGTCAGGTTAAGCTGTGTTTCCACTGCTCAGTGCCAGCTTCTTTAGGAGTTCTTTTT